AACGAACTTTTAATTGCAATAAGGACCTAATAAAATCTTTTTTCTCCTTATGTCTATTCGTTTTTCACCAACAACCCTGAAATTTTTCAGCGACAGTGGCAATTCCACTAGTTTTGATTCTACCACTTTGCAACTACAAGTGCAGAAAGAACATTTTTAACTTTGAGTTATATTAAGAACAAGTTTTGAAGTCGAATTGGCGACTAGTTTACTAATGATTGTTTAATGTGATACATTAAAAGAGACTTAATTAACAGTGTAGACAACAAATGTTTTTGTGTTTCTTTCACAATATGAAATTCCGCCGTGGTTGCTTATGAAAACAATGATTTTATTTGTCGGTTATTTTTTATATGTGAATGAATTATTTTGGATATAATTAGTTTTAATTTTATTTATTAAATAATTATTAATTAAATATTTATATTATGCAAAGAGGACAGAGGTGGCGCAGTTACAAACCTGGGCTACTTCAATTTGGGAGAGAGATGGGATGGTTCGGGTGTCCAGGTTTGGACCTCGCCTGTTTGTTTTCCAGTTTCCTTCCGCATCTACGAGCAAGTGGGTTTTCAAATCGGGACCATGGCACTTTCAAGGGAATCAGCTCTATCTCAGGACGTGGGCACCAGGGATTCAACCAGTAGCTCCTCAGGTAGAAACTCTTCCTATTTGGGTAAATATTTGGGGTATCCCTCTCGAGTACCACTCGATAGATGGTTTGGAATGGGTTGCTAGCACTGTAGGTCCTCCTCTCTGGATGGATAAAACCACAAGGGTGGGAGGGCAGTTAGGGTATGCCAAAATGTGTGTTGATCTTGCAGCTGACTGTGGATTCCCCCCTAAGATCCGTCTCTACCCTGATGATGATCCGTCTTTTGAGGTTGAAATAGAATATCTGGATTTGCCTAGGGTTTGCCCTGTCTGTGCTGTTTATGGTCATGACTGTAATTTTCTGGCTCGGAGCAACAAGAAGTGGGTAATCAAACAGAGGGATTCGATTCAGAATGATGTCAAGGCAAGTTCAGGGCAAGTGGTTGCTGATTCTGGGGTGGCACCTGTGGCAGTGCCTGTGCAGCAAACTGAAACTGAAATTGAAGTGAGTCATACTATAGTCCACTCTGTGGTTAATACAGTATTGGATGACAAGATACAGCTGAAGGTGTAGGTGGTCAAGATGTCTCTTATATTCCTCAATCAATTGGGAGTGCAAATGTTAGGTTTGTGGATGTGGTTCTAGGATCATCAGTTGAAACTGGGAGTCCTAGTTCCCTGCTACAGCAGCCTGTTGAAACTAGTTCACCTATCTTAGGGAAGCTAGTTTCTCAGACTCCTAAATTTGTTAAAGAGAAAAATCCTTGGATAACTGTTGGTTCCAAAAAGAAACCTACTACTCCTCGAGTTGTAGAACATGTTCTTCCTCGTAAAGGGGGGAGAGCTGGCAAGAAAAGGCGAATATACTTACATGGAATATCCGGGGATTTAATGACCCGGATAAGAATAAAGCTGTCCATAGCTAGTTAATAGACATAATATTGATATTATAATTATACTAGAGCCTAGAGTTAGAAGGAATAAAGCTGATGAGCTGATAAATAGAAGATTTTCTGGTTGGAAGTCAAAGGTTTCAAATAATGCTGCTGAATTGGGAAAGTTATGGCTTCTTTGGAAGGCTGATGTTAATCTTCAGGTTTTACATACAACAGAGCAATTCATTCATGTTTTGGTTGGATCAGGTGTCCCTTTCTTTATGTCTGTAGTCTATGCATCAAATGAAGAAGCTGACAGAAAACTCCTCTATTTAGACTTGGTTAAGTATCAAGTAAGTTCTCTTCCATGGGCGGTTTTAGGTGATTTTAATGCTATTGGGGACCCAAGTGAGGCTTCAAATGCTCCTCAATTTTCTAGTAGCATGTCTGACTTTAGACAATGGCAGTTTGACTGTGAGTTGGAAGAGCACAAGGCTTCAGAACCATGGTTTACATGGATTAATAAACAGCAGGGTAATCCCATAGCTAGTAGACTTGATAGAGTCTTTATAAATACAAAGTGGTTGGCTGACTTACCTTTGAGTTCAGTGGATCTTCTTGACCCCTCAGTGTCAGATCATTGTTCTATTCTTCTAAATTCAGACTTTTCAGTGAAGTCTTTGTCCAAAATGTTTAAGTTCTTTAAGTTCTGGATTCAGCATCCTCGGTTCATGGATTTGGTTAAGTAGGCCTGGAGCTCACAAGTTGATGGATCACCATTGATTCGTGTTTGTCAGAAGTTAAATATCCTGAAGGGACTATTAAAGAAATTAAACAAGGATGTGTATTCAGATTTGAGTGAGAGAGTTAAACTTAAAGCTGCTGAGTTGCTTTTGGCTCAGGCTGAAGCACTTAATAAACCATCTCCTCTTACTTTTGAAGCTGAGATTAGAATCGCAAAGGAGGCAAAAGAGCTGCGAGATGCCGAGGAGTCATTTTTTAGACAGAAGTCTAGAGAGGGGTGGTTGAAGGAGGGGAATGCTAACACCCCTTACTTCCACAAATCAGTCAAAACTAGACAGAAGAGAAATATGATCAGATCTCTTATTGATGAATCTGGTCACAGGGTTACAAACTTGGATGGTATGGTGAAGCTAGCAGAGGGATTTTACAGAAAGCTATTGGGAGAGGAAGACAAAGAAGTTGTTTCACATGAAGTTGATCAGATCAGGGATATCTTGATGAAGAAATTGTTGCCGGCTCAGGGGTATGATCTTTGCAGGCCAGTTACTGCAGAGAAAATCAGAACCACAATGTTTGGTTTTAATGGGGAAAAGGCCCCTGGCCCTGATGGTTACCCTGCTTGTTTCTTCCAGGCTACTTGGAGCATTGTGGGGGCTGAGGTAACCACTGCTATTCTCTATTGTTTTCAAATGTCTAGCATCCCAGTTAGTATAAATTCCACACTCTTAGCTCTCATCCCTAAAGTTCAAAGTCCTGAGGAAATGAAGTTTTTTCGCCCAATTGCATGCTGTAACATACTCTATAAGTGTATGGCTAAGATTCTGGCGACTAGATTAAGCTCTGTCATGCCTAGTGTTATTAGTGAATCCCAAACTGCCTTTGTTAAGGGTCGAATCATTGGTGAAAACATTCTGCTGCTCATGAATTAGTACAGAAGTATGGTAGGAAAAATATTTCTCCCAGATCCCTTGTTAAATTTGATCTAATGAAAGCGTTTGACTCTGTGGATTGGGGTTTCCTGTTTAAAGTGCTTCAAGCTATGGGTTTCCCTGAAAAATTTCTTGCTTGGTTAAGAATGTGTGTTACCACTCCGAAGTTTAGCATTGGTTTTAATGGTGGTTCAGTAGGGTATTTCCCTGCAAAGAAAGGATTGAGGCAAGGGGACCCCCTCTCTCCCTATCTCTTTGTTGTGGCCATGGAGATATTCTCCAGTCTGATGAACAAGGCAGTTCTCCATAATGTTATGCCTTTTCATCCTATGCGCAAAAGACTGAAGCTCACTCACTTAATGTTTGCTGATGATCTCTTACAGTTCTCTGATGGCTCAAATTTTGGGATCCAATGTATTAAAAAGGTTCTGGATGAATTTAGATACATGTCTGGGCTCAGATCAAATCCTTCTAAGTGTGAACTCTACTGTGGGGGGTATAAATGATCAATGGCAGGAGCTGATGTCTCAGTTCTCAGGTTATAAGTTGGGGTCACTTCCAGTACGTTATCTGGGCCTCCCTCTGCTTTTCTGGTAAACTTACTGTTAAAGCCTGTAAACCCCTTATAGATAGAGTTACGAGCAGAATCACTGGTTGGAAGTCTAAGTCTCTTTCTTATGCTGGCGAACTTCAGCTTGTGATGTCTGTGTTGTATAGCCTTTCCCATTTTTGGATGTCAATTTTTATTCTACCTAAGGCTATCATCAAAGCTATAGAAAAACTGTGCAGTTATTTTTTGTGGGGAGTTGGTGAGGGTGCTAGAAAGAAAGCAGTGGTTGCCTGGCCTCGCATTACCTATCCTAAAAGGGAAGGGGGGCTAGGACTCAAAGATATGTGCACATGGAATCTTGCTTGTGTTGTAAGGCACATCTGGGTTGTTTTACTTAAACAAGGGTCTTTATGGGTTGCCTGGCTCTGGGAATTTCGCATAAAAGGGGGCAACTTCTGGACCCTAGCATCAAAAGGTGGATCTTGGTTATGGCAGAAACTATTGAAGATCAGGGATAAAGTCAGGGGATGGTTTTCTATAGCATCTGATGTTGTTTATTGGAAAGGGGAACTTATGACTAAGTATTGCATCAGAATGGTTTGGGAGGAGTTTCGTCCCAAAAGGAGTTTGTCACTTGGAAATCTCTGGTTTGGAAAGGCCCTAGTATACCTAAGAATCAGTTCCTGGTTTGGCTTGTTGTCACTGACTTTATCACAACTGGAGAGAAAGCTCAGGGGTGGGGAGGTTCAGGTGATTATGGATGTGTTTTCTGCTCGTGCAGTTTGGAAACGAGGTCTCACCTTTTTGCTGAATGTCCAATGTTCAAACAGATGTTTGTAGCTCTGTTTACTAACTTTGCAGATCGAATCCCTAGAGATCAATGGAATTCTGAACTTCAATGGGCCACATCTACCTTTAAAGGTTCCACAATCTCAACACAAACTAGGAAGCTAATTTGGCAGGCTTTGATTGCTTTAATTTGGAGAGAAAGATGTCTGGTTAAGTTTGCAGGCAAAAAGGTAGATTTCCAAGACCTAGTGATGCGAGTAAAGTGGGATATTAGGGTGGTTATTGATCCTGGAGTAGTCTGCTTGTATTTCTGAGTTTTCAGGTGAATTCATTGGATCTGTTCTTGTTTTAAGATCCATAGTTTTTCTGTTTTCATAGCTCAGCTGGCAGAGCTGTTGCCAGCATTGTATTTGGTGCTTTTGATGAAGTGAAATTCCAACCGATTCATAAAAAAAGAGGATAGAGGTAGTTTCAAATCCTGCCTCTGCCACTACCCACTAGGCATGGACATCTTGGGCGATACTGCACCAAACATGGTGAGAAAACCCTAGTCACAATCACAAAGAGAAAATCATTTGATAATTTCGGAGAATCAAAGAATCGTCCGTTGGGTAACAATCACTCGCATTAATATTAACTTTTTGTCATAGATACTCGCATTAACAGTTAACTTCTTGTATTGTGAATTTCTGATACGTGTCTACTTGCCGCGCGGATTTTCTGGCCCCAGCGGGCCACTGTTCTCTCAACTCCTCACTCATCGATCATTCATATACCGTGAGTCTTGTAAATGGCAATGGCAGCCACCAGGAGCAGATAACACCTGCACAACAAGACAAACAAACCAACAGAACCAGCCAACTTACTCGCTCCCTCCTTTCTTCTTTCCATCTCCGTCCGTCGTCACCCCCGCCACCCCTCCGCCGACTATCTGATGGAAGCCATTGGTGTCGCTTCTTCCTCTAGCATCGTTGTTTTACACAGCAATGGAACCAGAAGCTTGTTTTCTTCCTCCACGGTGTTTAATCTTGATAGATGCCCTCTCAGTTGTTTTCTCCCTGCTAAGAAGAAGGTTACTGGTGATTTCTTGAAGCATTCCATAAGCTCAAAGCTGCACGGGAGTCTTTCTGCTATTTCAGCTTCTGCTTCTCTCTCGCAGCAGGAGGCTGCCCAGGTCACCATCGTATCTCTAAACTATCGATCTCGCCTTCTCCATTTTCTTGGGGAATTTGTGGTTAGGCAACAGTGGCTCCACGTATTGAGAATCTTGGCTATTGTTTTTTGAATATCTGGTTGCAGGTGGACTTGGAAGACTCGGACTCTGAAGCCCAAATCCAAGAAACAGGTGAATGAGCTCTTTCCGAGACGAGGGGAAAAAGAGTTTTCAATGGCGTGTCTATTTGATCGTTTTTAGGGTTTCCTTTAGGCATTTCTACGTCCATGGTTGAACCAGTATGTCTAATTTCTTGCAGAGGAAAGGAATGTTCCTTCCGTTCGTGTGAAGTTCCTATTACAGAAGGAATGCTCGTTTGGTGAGCAATTTGTCTTGGTAGGGGACGAGTCAGTGTTGGGTTTATGGGAACCTGAAAATGGTGTGCCATTGGACTGGTCAGATGGACATGTTTGGGCTGTGGAACTAGTAAGCTGAATTACTTTGTGAATTTCCTCAGCATCACCATTTCTTTCTGCGTTTGGGCATAGTTTGACGATGTTGAGTTTCTTCTGCAGGATATACCAATTGGGAAGACAATCAAGTACAAGTTCATCCTGAAAGGTCCAGATGGGTCGTTACTGTGGCAGCCAGACCCTGATCGAGTTCTTGAGCCATGGGAAACTCAGGGCACCATAGTTGTTCTCGAAGATTGGGAAGATCCTCTAGTTCAGAAGATCATGGAGGAAGAAGCAGGACAAACTTCTCAGAGTGTTGCTGTAAATGAAGAACCCGTTACTGACGAAGAAGAAACACCAAACCCTGTAGTAGATGACTCTGGCTTGCCTGTTAAAGCTGGAACTTTGGCTCTCCAGGAGACTGAAACAGTTACTTATGTAAAGGAAGAGGAAGAACCATCTGCAAGTGTTACAGAAGAAGAGGCAGCAGCTGACAAAGAAGAAGATATAGCACCTGTTCCGGACTCTACTTTGCAGATTGCAACAGAGAGTTTGGCTCCTCGAGAGAGTCAACCTGTTTTGGTCTCTGCCCATGAGGTATCTTTCTTAGCCGCTAAGGTTTGTGCTGCTACCCAACTAGAGAAGGCAATGGCTTCTGTTATGGCAGATGACAGTATCACTCGCCACCCCCAAGGGGGGGAGAGTATTACTCAAAATGGGAAAGGTCAAGTTTCAGGTGAAAGCATGAATGATGGTCAAAAGGTGGACCCTGTGTTTCCTTTGAGCAATGATAATGTTGAAGATGGCGATGAGAGTGTTGATGGAATATTGTTACCCGAAGAAGCAGGGTTGGCTGTTCTTGTACCGGGCTTATTATCTACAGTTCAGGAGTCCCCAACCGAAGAAGAAGCAAGGGAGGATGAGGGAATAGCAATTGCCGTTGATGCGTCATCTGATGAAGTTCAACATAGTGGAGAAGAGGTAACTGTTCCCTGTAGAATGTGATGTTCTAAAGCTTGTAGCTTTGTTTATGTTCGCGGTTTGTTTCCTTCTTTTAATGTGATGTTCTAAAGCTTGTAGCTTAATTTATGTTCGCTGTTTGTTTCCTTCTTTTCTTCTTAAAAGTAGTTTCTACCATGTTGACCATTGAAATTTGGACGGGAGATTGACCAATTTATTGAATAACATCGAGAATCAACTTCCATATCCACAAACTTCATGGGCATAATGGAAGTTGGAACTCTTATGGTGTTACCTTAGCATTATCTAGAACTGTGTGACAACACTTTCTTTTGCATTATCAGAAATCCATTAGGTCAGAATATGACAAGGAAGAAGCCAAGGGTGAAGGAATAATAGAGTTGTTGCCCAAGGAGGAGAAGGTGAAAGACTATGATAATGGTGAAGATGTTGATGGTGATGACAGAGCACCACCAGTTATGAACTTAACAATAACCACTGGTAGTAGCGATGGAATATTGGAACCTGAACAAGAAGGGGTGACTGCTCCTTTACCGGGTTTATCACCTCTAGTTCTGGAGACACCGAGTGAAGAAGAAGCAACTGGGGGTGAGCAAAGTGTTACGATTGCCTTTGATGCCTCAGTTGACGGAGCTAACAACAATGACGTTGAGAATCCTAGTGGAGAAGAGGTAATTGCTTCCTGATAGAATGTGATGTTCTGAAGCTTTATCTATTATCCTTTGTGTTCTATGTTTGTCCATACTTGTCATATTTCATGTCCATTTTGAAGTGTTATGTATTGGCATTATTGACCATTGAAATTGCGCCGGAGATTTTTCTAAGTAATTGAGTGATAACATCGAGAATTAGCTTGGCATATCCACCATGTTCTATGGACACAATAGAATGATGGAACTGCTACTGCGTGTCGCCTTAGAATTATCTTGACAGTACATGACAGCTCTTTCGTATGCGTTTCCTCTTATCAGAAAACCATTGCTTTGGAGTATGACAAGGAACAAGTTTATGTCGAAGAACCAGTAGCGTTACCCGAGGAGAAGGACGAGGAAGAGGAGAAACCAAATGATGATGGAGTGGAAGAGAAGTCAACTTCAGCTAGTGATGAGAGTCGATGCAAATTTCCAACTCCCAGTGGTGAAACTGAAAATGTGCTGCAGAATGACATGCAGTGGGTGCAGAAACTACTGAGTAACCTAGGCCTGCTGTAAATTTTTTGTCCCACCTCTCTAAATCTTTTAGAGACCAAATTTTCTGGATGCAGTGGCCGGATCCACCTCCTGTACATAATATGCGATCCGTGTCATCTCTTCTCATGATTTTGTGCAGTTTGCTACTATCCATTGTAATTGGCAATATCAATGCTGTGTTGTGCTGTGTATATAATGGCGTAATGTCTGGCTTTCGCTGCGGAAGCAAGTGCATTTTGAAAGGCTTGTTAGCTCAATCATCAAATACCAATCAAGATTCCAGACTCTAAACAGTTAATCAAACCGGAAATTATAGGTCGCTTTAACAATTGAACAATGGTACGACGAGGTTGATTCTTTTGCAAGCTTTGCTCAGGGCAACCTACAATTAAATAATAGTAGTAGTTTTCCTTCCTTGACGTCAACGTTGCTGTTCGAATCTTCTCCTCTTTCCCCTCTAAAAAGTTGAGATGCATAGGAAGGAAGCAAAATCATTCATGGCCATGTTATTGTTGATTCGTTGGGATGTGCACAGCGTAAGTTGCAGGGAGTTGAACAAAGACTCCTCCCTCGAGAACCGGTTCGCCGATCCTGAATTTTTTGTTTTTCTTATTTTTAAGGTTTGAAAGTGTTCTAAACTAACGGTTGTTTATTTTTTCTTCATGTAATAACACAGATTTTTTTGGTGTGAAACGGGATGCTAAAGGGTGTCCCAACCTTTAATCATTACCAACCAAATGAGGGATGGTAACCCCAATTAGATCATAGTACAACCAGTAGCTTAAAATCGGACAAGGAGCCAAATCAGGGTTGTTATAAACGCGCTGCTACGGATCGGGAAATTGCCGGAATCGATAAAGCAATAATACGAAAGCGAGAATCGAAAAACACAGACACACGATTTACGTGGTTCACTAACACGATGTGTGTTAGCTAGTCCACGGTCAGCGAGACCCCCGACTACCAGTCGTAGCGGCTGATAGTTCGATTCAAGTCACATCAACAAATCTCCACCTTGACTTGAATCCTCTTCCTCTGAAATCTCTGATGTACTCTTCTCCTTCTCTCTCTCTCTCTCTCTCTCTCTCTCTCTCTCTCTCTCTCGCCATCAATGCCCCGCAGGGCAGAGTCACCCACTCAAGACATTCAGCAAGTCCAAGCAGTGTTGGAACTTGCCATGTGGAACCGGCTTCGTGAACATATCAGCATGATTCTCCGCGGTGCCAACCTTCTTCACCTTAATCCTCTTCTCTGTCCACAAGAAATGATACCTCACGTTGAAGTGCTTAGTTCTCTCATGGTGGACTTGATCCTTGGCCAAGCATATTGAACTCAAACTGTCGTAATACACCATTGCCTGATCATGATGTAGACCCAGATCACCAACCAGTCCCTTCAACCATATTCCCTCCTTAGCAGCTTCTATCAACGCCATATACTCTGCCTCAGTAGTAGACAATGTCACAGCCGACTGCAGAGTTGCCTTCTAGCTCACTACAGAACTCCCAAGAGTGAATACATAACCGGTCACCGATCTCCTCGTGTCAACATCTCCAGCATAGTCCGAATACCCACACACCAAGCACTCTGTATCACTTCCGAAGCTAATCCCCACATCAGGTGTACCCTTAAGGTACCGGAAGATCCTCTTCGTAGCCTGCCAATGCTCCTTCCCAGGTTGTATCATAAACCTGCTGACAACACTAACAACATGTGCAAGATCAGGTCTAGTGCATACCATAGCGTACATCAAGCTACCTACTGCACTAGCATATGGGACTCTAGACATGTACTCCTTCTCAGCCTCTGACTGCGGTGCATAAGCTGAGGATAGATGAACATTTGAAGCACTAGGAGTATTTAAGGGCTTTGCTGAAGACATGCCAAACCTCGACAATATCTTCTGGATGTAGCTCTTTTGTGGCAAGAAAAGCTTCTTCTTCGACATGTCCCTGTAAATATCCATACCCAAGATCTTCTGAGCAGCTCCCAAATCCTTCATCTCAAACTCAGCACTGATATCAGACTTCGACCTCACAGCTATGAGCATATCATCCACATACAGAACAAGATAGATCATCGAACCATCCTCCACCTTGTTGTGATACACACAACAATCATATGGACTTCTTGTGTAGCCCAGCTCAAGCATGTAACTGTCAAATCTCTTGTACCACTTCCTCGGAGACTGCTTAAGTCCATACAAGGACTTCTTCAGCTTACAAACATAGTCTTCTTTTCCCGGAACCTGGAATCCTTCTAGCTGAGTCATGTAAATTTCTTCCTCCAACTCTCCATGTAAGAAAGCTGTCTTCACGTCTAGCTGCTCGAGCTCCAAGTCATAATGTGCCACTATTGCTAGTAGCACTCTGATCGAAGTATGTCTGACCACTAGTGAGAAATCTCATTGTAGTCAACTCCTTCCCTCTGTGAGAAGCCTCGTGCAACCACCCAAGCTTTAAATTTCATGCCCTCTTTAGAAGTGATTCCTTCCTTCTTCTTGTAGATCCACTTGTTTATAACAATCTTCCTTCCCTGTGGTCATTTGACTAGCTCCCAAGTCTGATTCCTGTCATGGGATTCCATCTCATCTCCCATTGCGACAAGTCACTGATCAGCTTCGCCACCCGAAACGGCTTCTCTATAGGACTGTATCCACTTCTTCAGCAACCTGAAATGAATACGCACCATGTCCTCGAAACCATACGTCTCTGGAGGTACTCCTGCAGTCGCTCTCTTTGGTCTACCGGAAGCTATAGACTGTTGAGCTCCTGCACTGGACTTTGAAGTTTCTGGCTCTGTAGAAACATCCTCATGTTGATCTTCTCCACCTTGCTGCTCAAACTCACTCTCATTGAGAGTTTGCAGCTCCACATGCTTATCAACATTCCTGCTACCTTCAACAACAGTAACCTTCAACATGGGGTTAAACATAGACTTCTCATCAAATATCACATTTCTAGTGAGTATAACTCGATGCTCAGAAGGTGACCAGACTCGAAATCCCTTAACTCCATCTTCGTAACCCACAAATACACCCTTCTTTGCCCTTGGGTTCAGTTTACCCTCATCCACATGATAATAAACAGGACACCCAAAAACTTTCAGTGAAGAGTGATCAGCAGGCTTACCATACCACACCTCATATGGAGTCTTCAACTCGATACCTGTGTGAGGTCCACGGTTGATTAGGAAGCACGCCATGTTCACTGCTTTTGCCCAGAATCTTCTCTCTAGTCCAGCATTAGAGAGCATGCATCGTGCTCTCTCCAACAATGTCTGGTTCATCCTTTCTGCAACACCATTCTGCTGGGGTGTACCTCTCACGGTCTGATGACGGACAATCCCTTCATCCTTGCAGAATTCGTTGAACTCAGAATTACAGAACTCCAGACCATTGTCCGTTCGCAGCTTCTTGATCTTCTTACCGGTCTGATTCTCCACCAATGTCTTCCACTACTTGAACTTCGTGAAAGCCTCACTTTTCTGCTTCATCATGAAAATCCAAGTAAATATCGAATAATCATCAATAATAGACAGAAAATACATGCTGCCTCCAATGGATTCAACTCGTGAAGGACCCCAACAGTCGGAGTGGAGGTAATCCAGTATCCCCTTTGTCCGGTGGATACCCTTCTTGGGAAACTTGCTGCGATGTAGCTTCCCAAACACACAATGCTCACAGAATTCCAAATTCTGCACCTTGTGCCCGGAAAGAAGATCCCTCTTCGATAGAACTTGCATCCCCCGTTCACTCATATGCCCCAGTCTCATGTGCCAGAGAGTGGTCATATCTTTCTGATGAACTTGAGATGATGAAACTACAGCAGAACCAGACAACACAGACCCTTGTAATGCATACAAGGTCCCACGCTTCACGCCCTTCAGCACCTTCCTTGAACCTTTGCAGACATACACAACTCCACCTTTTCCTTTGAAGCTGAAACCCTTGCTGTCTAGTAGACTCAAGGAGATCATGTTCTTTGTCATTCGTGGAACATGCCTAACATCATTCACGGTACAGAACGAACGATCATGTGCCCGAACCTTTATGAACCCGATTCCAACAACCTTGCGGACAACTCCATTTGCCATGACTACGTTACCACCATCTATCTGCTCGTAGGTTGTGAAGCAATCCCTGTTCGGAGACATATGGTATGAGGCTGCAGTATCCAGAAACCACACATCCCCACGATGTGCCTTCTCATCTACAGCCAAGGCGAGATCGTCTTCAGAACTGTTGTCCACTTCTGCCACGGCAACTGAACCTTGTTTCTTCTGTTGCCCTCTTCTCTTGGGACGGTTTTACTTCCAATGCCCCACTTCCTTACAGTTGTGACAAGCATCACCTGGATGTGGACCAGGACCCTTGGAATTCTTGTTCGAATTCCCTTTACCAGATTTCTTCTTTCCCTTTCCACCTGTAACAGCCAAACCCTATGCCTCACCACCTGTACCAGATCCGGACGCCTTATGCCTGATCTCTCTCGTATGAAGAGCAAACCTAACATCCTCCAACGACACGCTTTCTTTTCCGGCAATAAAAGAATCAACAAAATTCTCATATGAACTCGGCAAAGAAACCAACAGGATTAGGGCAGCATCCTCGTCATCAACTTGAACATCTATATTACGTAGATCCAGCAAAATAGAGTTAAGCCGTTCGAGATGTTCCCTCAAAGGCGTACCTTCTTGCATCCTCAAGGTGAACAACCGTTGCTTGAGATGCAGCTTGTTGGTTAGAGACTTTGTCATGTACAGACTCTCTAGTTTCAACCACAAGCCCGCGACAATCTTCTCATCAGCGACTTCAATGATGATGTCATCAGACAACGATAACATGATGGTCGAGTGGGCCTTCTCCTCCAGGGTATTCCACTCATCGTCATCGACCGCTGCCTTCTTCTGTTTCGCAGACAGCGATCCCCATAGCCCTTGGTGTTTTAATAAAGCGTGCATCTTGATATGCCATATAGCGAAGCTGTTCTTCCCCGTGAACTTTTCGATCTTCATGTTCACCGACATCATTCTTCTGAATCGAAAAAACCCTAGCCTGATTTCCAACCAGACTCTGATACCACTTGTTATAAACGCGCTGCTACTGATCGGGAAATTGCCGAAATCGATAAAGCAAGAATACGAAAGCGAGAATCGAAAAACACAGACACACGATTTACGTGGTTCACTAACACTATGTGTGTTAGCTAGTCCACGGGCGAGAGAGAGCCAGTTTCACTATATCGAGGAGATTACAGATTACAAAGGAGCATGAGAAGTATTTATTGT